TTTTTTTTTTTTTTTTTTTTTTTGGAACAAGGCTCCAATCTATTCGTGGGGAGCAACACGTGCTGGGAACCGGGCCCAGGGTCCCATATCAAAGTTAACATAGAAAAGTTTAAGATCCCGGGGCTAAGAAGAATTTGATGTACTGAGAAAATCATTACAGAAGCTTCAAAATAGGCAAAATTCAGAAAACAACTCAGAGACCCCCCCATCATATCCTCTTTGCCTTACTCCGCCAAGACTTACTGCAGCAGAGTCACCATCTCCACTGCTACTGTACCCTATTTTCATCCTACAAGCTAGCCCCCTCACTAGTAGGACGCTTGATATCCAACCATCTATTCATCGCACTCAACCTCTTTTTGGAAAAAATAACCCCACAGAACAATCCTGCCTCCATCATCGAAGGGAAGAAGCGCAGACTGATCCGGCTGAAATTAGCGGCCAGTGGCCGGTACCCGCCGAAATTTTAGTGCCAATCGCATCCACTACCAACTTCCTCCTTCCCAGTCACCTCCGTCCTTCCCAACTCCTTCGTCATGAAGAACTTCAGAGAGCCTCTTCTCCACGGGGGTCGAGCACCATCATCACCCTGACATTCTTTGCCCCCACAAGAATCCCAGTCTCCGTCGTCGAGGTGGTGAACTAACACTACCCAACGCCAATCGTGCCAGAGTTCACTCTCATCAGCAGGTACCCATCAGCCAGCTTAAACTACCTGACGCCAATCGCATATGATAAGAGGCCCCTCTAGCCGGTACCCATCGAGCAGCCCTATTTCCTCCCCCTCTCCGTCCTTGTAAAGAATCATTTAATGCCCCTGGCCCCTTACTTCAAAGCAGGTCCCTAAAAGCTCCACAAGATGCCCCGTTAGGTTTTTTAATGGGAGAAAATTGAGATGCTGGAGCCATTACCCGGCCTTGGCTACCAAACAACTTCTGACGACTTAACAAACCTCTGACAAACCTCTGACGAAATATAAAACAAAAATAGGAAACCAACAAGCCCTGAAACAGACGACCTGAAAGATCTCGCCTCCATCATCGAAGGGAAGGAGCTTATTCACCTTCCCAACTCCGTCCTCGTAAGGAGCCCAAAGAATAACTTATCTCAGCAGGGGGCAGGCACCATTATCACCCTGAAATTCCTTGCCCCACAAGAATTCCAGTCTCCGTCATCAAGGAAGTGAACAACATTGCCCAACACCAATCGCACTAAAGGTCGCCCTCAACAGCCGGTACCCATTGGACAGCTTAACCACCCAACGCCAATCGCATCTGTTAAGGGCTCCCCCTAGCTGGTACCCGTTGAACAACCCTATTTTACCCCCTCTCTATCCTTGCAAAGAATCCTTTGATGCCTTCCACCCCCTACTTCAAAACAAGAAAACCCCAGACTCTACGAGATATTCCATTTGACCATCTCATGAACCCCATGTTCATAATTCAATTGCAAACAGAGGAATTACATTTATACAAGATAATACTATGTAAGAAAAAAAATACGAGATATTACGAATTTAGAATTAGGTATTCAAAAAACGATGTTCAAATTAGATTTCGAGCCTCTACCATGGGAAAATTTAAGAAGAAAATCAAAGATAGATCAGAATTATTCGGAAAAATTTGAGAATGACACTAGATAAAAACAATTATGTAAATTGAGAACTGAGAAATCCTTGTTGAGAAATTCTAACTTACGAGTTTCAGATTATGACTCTCGCTCACGAAATACAAGTATTAAGAACCCTACAAAACACGAATTCCAAATTAAGGATCAATTACATCCAGAAACCATTTGAAATCTCATGAATCAGATTTAAACAATACTAGACAAAACGGAGAAGACAACCACAACTCAGAAAAATCAGGGAAGAATCATCAGAAAATTCACGATTGATAGCAATTTCAGATTATAAGACAGCCTGGCCACGCACGAGTTAAATCATGATCCAGATCCAATAGAGAACAACCTCCCGTCCCTTCTACCTCAACAAAGCCACGTACCTCACACCCCTCAAACCCTACCCCTGCGTCTCTGGGGGAGGAAAACGTTCGTCCTCCCACTGTTGACCTCACAGCTCAAAGCAAAACAAGCACCAAAGACTTGAAAGGTCATCCTCAATCCCCCAAAGGAAATCGAAAATAGTGTAGCACCCCCTCGCCAAGCCTGTTGACGAGTCGCCACAGGGGGTTGAAGACCACCTAAACTCTACCCATACCATACCGTCGAGCTGGGGTCTTGAGGATCAGGGTGATCTAGATGAGGCATGTACATATTTAGGTGGCCTACGCACTGGCTTTGAGAGACAGATCTGATATGTATTTTAGGGATAATTGTCAGCGTGAGTTTGGTCTGGCTTGAGTTGAGTGAGCTATGATTTGGATACATTTTTTGTGTGAGACATTTTATTTTCCCTGAGTGTATATTATGATGAGGTTTTTTTCAGGGACCATTCTTATATGTGACGATCACTTGTCTCTCTCACATATGTGGTTGTGCTCTGATGTATGATGAGTTTGTGTGGACAATGTGTGAAAAACCTTTTATGTGTCATGGGTACTGTGAATATGATTGTAAGCAAAACTGTCTACTTCTCGGTATACTTGTGCGACCTGCCCACGGGCAGCTGATAGGGCAGAGTATAAGGGGAGGAAGCGCAGCCCGTCTGTGAAAGGTTGTGAGGGCTTTGAAAATTTATGAGCCTTGGAGGCTCAAAATGCTTACCATGTTGATTATTGATTGCTTAAGTTGTGATGAGGACCCGTAAGATGGTATCTCAGTGATGTTTGTTTTATGATAAGCCCCCTTGGATTTTGAAAAATGGGATGTTTTGTGATGTTGTGTGTTATGATGAGATCCCCTCGAGTTTTGAGGAGGGGAAGTTTGGTTTTATGGCTACACCCCTCGTGATTTTTTGGAAGAGGTGGTGTTTCGTTCTGTGGCGAGACCCCTCGTGATTTCTGGAAGAGGGGGTGTTTTGCATATGATGAGAGTCCCTTGAATTTTTGGCAAAGGGGATGTTTTTGTTGTTGGGAGACTCACCTTCAAAGGCGAGTAAACTGATTTATGACATAGTAAGTTGTCTGATGAGTGATAAAGTCTGACGAAAAGGGCTACTGTTGTTTGGAATGTTTGAGAAAGTCGCAATGACTGCAGGGCGAGAGATGTCTCAGGGTGGGTGGCTGCTGGCTCTGATCAAGTCAGGGGGCACAACCTGGTGGATTTAGCGGTGATTTTGTTTGTAAGCGTGCGAAGGATGCCATGCCTATTGAGGAAGGGCTGGTAAATGCCTTCGGACCCCTGCGTATCGCGCAATGGGCCAGTGATTTTGTTTTGCGACGCTCCCGTCTAACCACTGGTGCTAATTCTCAGGCATATTGAAGAAAGGCCAAGCTAACGGAAAAGAAGTTAGTACCTTTAGGGCGTAACCCCATTAGATGGTTGCTAGTCGGCGCAACCCGGCTGCGGGACTACGTGGGTAAGAGTTTAAGAGGGGGTGCCCGCCCCAGTGAAATTACTCCTCGGGATAGTGATGGTTGAGAATTTTTTGGGCGAAATCCTGATTGAATGCTTATCAGGAGAAAAACTATCGTTGAGTAACCAACGAGGGTACTGCTGCTAAATAACAATGCGGTGGGCCGTGGTCCTGGTCCGATCAGCCAGGCTATGGTGGGCCAAGGTGGAGACCTAGCCTTTCTGTACTAGACCGCAGAAAGAGCTGAGCGGATATTAAGTATACATATATACTTATGTGTATCTGATTGCGAGAGATTTTTGAGAAGGAAGGCGAGAGTGTCTTCAAAGGTCTCGATTAAGGCCCGCGTCCCTGGTTTTTGCCAGGACTAGGGATACCCAACGAGAAGCCGAAGGTTGTTTAGGACCGGGGAGAGGACGATTGGGAAGGTCCTTGGAACTTATGTTGTTAGCGTCCTAATTTCTAGGCGGTGAGAGGCCCTGGTTAGAAACCTGGCAGCATATAGTTGAGAAGGCATCGTTGATGGAGGTCTCTACCCTGTGTTTGTCGGCTAATCGGATTGGTCCTCTTTTTCGTCAGCATTTGGAATGTGGATGAATTTATAGTTTTCTGATTTGGCGAAGCGACGGGGACGTCGCTTAATGTGGTCCGGTAAGTTGTCGATGCGAATACCCTTATAAGGGTATCCGCCCTGGTTTTTTGCGAGTCACAGAAAGTAGATTTGGTTTAAAGTTCAAGTATACCGCGCAAGGCGCGGCTGCGTCTGTGATTTACGTTGACTGGATGGATGACCACAATAGCGAGTGCGTGGGCGCGCAGGTTTAAGGCGCGCGTGATTCTTTTCTGTTGTTGATCGTAAAGCCGGCCCGGACCTCGGTCGTTTTGCTTGGTGATACTATTATTATTTATTTATTTTTGATTAAGCAGGAATTAAGGATATTTTCTTTTGATTGGTACATTTGACCGAGTCGAGCGCGTGTGCGGAAAACGACCGCGACGACGGCATCGGCAATAATGACGCGATTTCGTGCGGTGAGCAGGATGTCGTAGGATGGCGCGCGGGGGCAATTATGGCATGGTATAAGCAAGCTGGCGCGGGCACAAGGAGCCGCGCAACCGGTTTGTCGGCCCAAAGCGCCGCGCCGCACCGTCTTGTATGGTACTCTGCGGGCGCTGGTCTCAGGCTTGGGCTTAGCCCTATAGGTTACGACATTGGACTGACACTACGAAGGTTTGGGGATCGAGGTCGACGGACGCCAACG